CAGTAAATATATATAAGTCCCGGTAGCCTACTACCCGCATAAGGTTGTGTTATTAAGTAATATCCTTTTTTATTGATGTATTGAGCATGACCGGTAATGTTAATTAAATAATTATTTTTATTTAAAATCATTATTCAGTACCTCGTAAGAATCATAAAACTAGNAATCAAAAAAGGTACCAGTTAGTCTCTTTTCCTCATTAACAATGTTTTTGTTTTGTTTTGTTTTGATTGATTTCACTAAAACACTTATTTTGACCGACATCATGTAGGAACTGGGATACAACAAGATGATCCAACACTGGCCACGTCTTACTTGTGTCAGTGGATCCTTACATTCTCTAATGGTCAGTTATCCTATTTTTCTTGTGTTGCGCATGTACTCAGTTTTTGAAATGCATTATAACAGATTTACCAGTATATGCCTAATTTAAGAACTAAATCACTAGTAAAAAACAGTCTGGTACAATTTAGGGACATTATTCATATATGAGGAAGAAATTTAGATTACCTACAATATGTTAAGTAATGCCTTTGAATAGGTGCAGAAGAAAATGACATATGAAAAACCAAAATTATTAGGCCTACTTGTTATCCCTGGAATTAATTATCCAGAATAAAAATATGCGGAAGTTTTGTCAAGATATAGAGTTTTAGTAATTCTATGTGATTTATTTATTGATTTTCTAAATTATTGTATATATGTTTTATAAAATGTTTTTCAACAATGAATTTACAATAAGGGAAAGTAAAACGCAGCTTACGTACGATATGTAAAAAGCTCAGGCCCCGGTTTCACAAAAAACTTTATTGCCAAGGTTATATGGGCATATGGGCAAGTCTTACTCTATCAGGAGCAGTGTAACAGCACCCTCCTGGTCCCGTTTTCACAAAAAAAAACTTAAGTCAATTCCCTGGCTTAGTTGACTAGGATTTCCATGAGACTGCTGTTACACTGCCCTTGAAAGGGTGGAATGTGCCCATGTGACGATGTAACCTTGGTAATTAAGTTCTTAGGCTGGGAACCCGACTTCAGTTCTTTTTTGTGAAACCGGGGCCTGGGAATCCTAGTCAACTAAGTCAGGTAACTGACTAATTTTTTCATTGTGTGAAACTGGGGCCAAATCTGTAAGGATGAGAAGTTAAGCAATTAAAATACGCCCCTCTCCCTTAAAAAAAAAGAATTTAGACTTCACGAACTTCAAACCATTTACACAGCTCTATTGAAAAAAAGCATTTAGACTTCACGAATTCAAACCAAGAAAACGATTACATGTTTTACATGTAAATACTCTATCAGCCAATTTGTTGATTTAAATTAAACTTAAGCATACCACGTTGCTTCTACAGCCTGAAAAACTAATCCCGTGACTGGAACGTAACCGAATCTTTGTATTCAGATTCAGCCTGTGCACACCTTTTCAAAATAGTTCCAAGAACAAAATTTGATATCTGTCTTCAACAAAGATACAATACCGGATAAAGCGTGCTGCCTCTCATTACAATGAATCTATCTATGCTCACTAGGGGCACACACATGAGATAACATTGCCCTGGAATAAGCTGTAGCCGTTATAGCCACAAAACATTAGTTATGCACACTGGGGCATGCAAATAAGATAGCATAGCCCTGAATCTTTTCTATAAATGTTATCAGCCCAGTCACCTGAGTCAACTGTTAGTAGAATTCCAAATTATAAACTTCAAATTTTTTAAATGATTTCTTCTATACATTTTATCAACAATGTGAAGATTTTCAACCAATTGCTCCATATCTCAGTTCGAAAAACATTCCTTTTGAAACAAGGGGTTTTACTGTGCTGATGGTTGGGAGGGGGTGAGGGAGAGGTCGAAGATGATTACATCTACCCACGGCTTATGAAAACGAGAGCAATTATAGGAGCAATGTTGTGGTTAATGAAAGACCAATATTAATGTGGAACAAATAGCACTTTACATTTCTAAATGAAATTGATAAACCATTAAAAATATAATCCTGGAAGTGTGTAACGCGTCCAGGCGTGGCGTGACTACACAGAATAGAGCTCGGCGCGGAATATTGTCTGCTCCTCGAACCGTGGTTTGAACTTGCACACAACTTACATGTATATGCTTATTGGCAGAGTTAGTAGCCAGTGCTACTGTACAATGAACATTTCTGGACCTGAGAGGCCAGAGAGAGGCCAAATATTCCGTTCCCTTGGTAAAGAGTGTCCAAGTGACTCTCTGTTGCGCTCTAGATGGTCTACTCTCAAGCGCAGACATGAAGACACCCTAGTTGGAACTCGCGCCATACCTGCCAGGAAGGTACTCTATAACAGGGTCGCAGATTTCTTTATGTGCACTTTTGCTCTGGCGAAAAAATAACATCATTTAACTAGGCACGTATCTGTGAAAATGTAATGAAAAATCAGTCTGCAGTCCTGTACCTGAGCAACCAGCGAGTGGACATACATGTAAAATGATTGAAACTGGTTATTGTCGTCTGCGTTAGATGTCATAGCAATTTATACGTAAATATATTGACCACGAATCAGGAAAGTAGTACTAGCACGTTTCGAACGTAAAAGCAAACAACGGTGTCCATAATTTTTTATTCATTGCTAAATTTGCACGGTTTCGGACAACATGTTCTCTCTTCTTGAGATGCATTACAGCCGATATCTAACATGGGCCCCTAACTCGAAAGCATCGCGTATTGCGAAGAGCGATAACACATAGAGGCTATGTACAATGTATACCATGAGCCCAGGACCCCATCCTATCAGCATGTATAAATGTTGATTTCCCCCAGACTCCCACATATCATCTTGCTACTACAGCCTGAAAAAACTAATCCCGTGATAGGAACATAACCGAATCTTCATATTCAGATTCAGATTCAGTTCGTGCACATTTTTTCAGAAAACTAACAGGAACATAATTTGATATTTTTCATCAACAACAACAATGCAATTCCCGATAAGGCGCACTGCCTGTCATTACAATGGATCTATCTATGCTCGCTTGGGGCCCACACATGAGATAACATTGCCCTGGAATTTTCTGTAGATTTTATGGCCACAAAATATTAGTTATACACACTAGGGCATGCATTGCCCTGAATCTAAACCATAAACGTTGTCAGAATGTATCAACGCAGTCACTGAGTAAGTAGAATTCCAGTACAATTGTCTTCAAATTACAAAAATGATTTCTATAGATTTAGAAAAAATCTTCATTTAACTAAACACACATTTGTGAACATCTAGTGAAAAATCAATCTGCGGCCTTGGTAGAGGGTACCACAAATAGTATAAAAGGCGAAAAAGAAGGTCGTTGATGTACTGCCCATGACAATACGGTAATGTGCCATAAATTTCGAACGGCTCTTAAATTTCAAACGTTATTAAAATCGGCCGTCTGGATTTTTTTTTACTGAATTTCGACCAGAAAGCAATTTTCCACGATCTTGATTGGCGTGAATTTCGTACACTTTAAAATTCGACCATCAGGCTTTTTTCGGGCTCATATAAATCGCATCACTCAGCATCCCACGTGCAACAAAACCATGAGATGATGAGCACATGGAACAGGACCTGACCCGTGATGACCCCCAGGAGCAAAACTGCAGGAAGGAAGAAGCACGTCTTCTTGGAACTTCCTAAGTCAATAGAAACTGTGTTCACATGCCTTATCAGAAAATTACAAAATTTCAGAAAATTACATTCAAGGCGGCCAGGGCTTGGGCGGCAAACTTATTGCAATACCTTCATATTGATCCGCGCCAATTAAGGCCCGGTTCCCATTGACATTGGCAAGTAATTAATAAACTCCACCCTAGACTTTTAACCACTTACGTTTAGCTAACCCAAACCTACATGAACCTGATGGAGCCCCCCCCCCCTCTGTTACATTAAAGAACTAGAATCAAAAGTTGATGTAAACTAAACCAAATTTTCTGCCTACTTCGAGATAAGTCTAGGAACAAAAACAAAACACAAAATGAAATAAGAATATATTTTTAATGTTTTAACAATAAATAATATTCAGTTAACATATTTTCGTCTGAAGTAGTAATCAGAGCCCATCACGTCAGCATCTGCAATTCCAATGTTACAAATGTTATCACATTAAAATATTGTTCCCCTTAAAACTTTATAATTACGTGTTGCTTAGAAATCATTAAAATATTCTCATTCTGCATAAGATTTATTCAGTTTTATCATACAATCACCTTAGACATTTATAAAGGATTATAAAAAAATAATTTTCGTGGAAATTTTAATTTTTCTTCTCTCCACACAGTACCCCAATCTTCAAAATCATTGAATAAAAATTACGATCCATAAACTGTTTTTTAATCACTCTCATTATTGGAAACTATTTAAAAAATTACAATTTGGAAACAGGTTGATATTTCTCTAATTCCTCAACA